AAATATATCAAATATGTCTGACATTTAGATCTGCAACGTTCTGCGTCACGTCTATCAATCCAATCCTGTTACAATATAAATTTAAATCATTAAATTTTAAAAAAGTTTTTTTATGTTAAGATATTTTCTGATATCTAAATCAAAAATTATGTCAAGTCTGAAAAATATTATATAAGATTTTGCAGTCTTTAACATTAAAAATTATATGTAATAAGTATATTAATTTAGAAAGAGAAATAGAAGATTATTATATAATATTTATTTATATCTAAAATATTATTAATCTTAATCATCAATTTAGATATTCTCTGATATATATTTTATAAACAAAAATAAAAATAAAATAAAATAAGAAAATTAGTCAAGAAAAGTAATAAAAAATATTTTAATAAAAAGTACTACTATTTAAATTAATAATAGACTATTTTTGAAAAAAAAATTGAAAAAAATAAAAAAAGAAAAATTTTTTAAAAAAGAGTTTTTTTTATTTATTTGTAAATTAAATCTTAGCTATTTTTGAACTAACATATTTTTATATAAAAATTTTTAGATAAAACCTAATGAGAGAGAATTTTCCTACATATATATTATTTTATTAGTAATTTTAACCTTTTTATAATTATTATAATTTTAGTTAAAATATAATTTTAATCAAAATTCTATTATATATTATACAAATTTTTAAAAATTAATTATATAATTATATAAAGTTTAACTATATTAATTTTTCATTTGCTTAAAGTTATCTATAAATTTATATTAATTTAATTTTAAATATTTATATTAAAAATATTTTTAAAAATATTTATATTTATAACTATTTTATTTATAAAATATATAACTAATAAAATTATAATATATTTTAGTATAATTTCTAAGATAGATATATAAGTTAATCAGATTAAAATATTAAATATAATACTGATATAAATAAATATATTTGATGAAATATTATATATATATATTAAAATAATAATATAAAAAATAATAAAAAATAATAAAATAAGTAAGATATTAATATATATTTTTGATATAATTTAATATTTTTAAATAGAGAAATTATCTTTTATGCAAGATATATAAATTACATCCTATACGTAGTAATTTTGATGTGCACGTGATATTAGAATTTATATAAATCGATTTATCAATATATATATTATAAATACCCATGCATATCTTTTTTGATATGCAATTAAATTTAGACTTTTGATTTTTACATGATCTTGTGTTTGATCTTTATATAATGATAAACTTTTTTTTTCTATTTTCATTATTTTTTTTCGTAACCTTTAATTTTTATTTTATTTTTTTATCTTTATCTTTTTCTTATCAAACAGGATTACGAAAATTAATGATAACAATAATCAACTTGCAATATTTATATATTTGTTAATATAGGATATCCATCTTTAAACTGAAAATTTTTTTAATAGGAATTCTTTCACTTTCTTATTTCCTTTCTTTCATTTCTATATTTTTCATTTTTCTTTCTCTTTAAAATAAATAAAATGAGTGATTCTGAGTCCATTTCAAGTGATAATGATATATTTGATTTTGAAGATAACTTTATTGAAGACATTCCTAGGGATAGTGATTGTGATGATGATAATAGTTATTCTTCAAATAAAAATATTAATATTCTGCCTCTAAAATTAGAAGTTAGTATATCTTTTCTTATCTAGAAGATTGCATTTGATTATATCAAACAATGAGCTTATCAACAGAACTTTAGTATTTATAAAGGAAAATCTTAAAGAAAGATCTAAAAAGATGCAAAATAAATTAAGAAAGTAAATAATTGTGTGTTATTGTGAAAGAGTATATAATAACAAATCAAAAAAAAATTAATAAGCCATCAAAAACTCATCAAACTAATTGTAAATAGCATGTTAATCTTTCCTAACCAGTCAAAAATAATTAAGATTTTATAATTTTTATTACTATAATATTTGATAAGCACTTCAGACATGATTTGGATCCTTCTACACATTAATTTAAAGCTGGTAAGGTTTTTACTAAACTAATATTAAATAATATCAAATAGATGTATTTGCATGATCATTTAAAACTATTAGCAATTAAACAAATGCTAAAAGCTAAATATAATCACAAAGTTTATAATAAAAATATCTATAAGGTGATTTATAAGTATCGTTATAATAATAATTATTTGGGTAATGATATTTCACAGGTTTTTGAATATTTTAAAAAATGCAAAAATGATGATCTACATTGGGTAATTTATAAGGATTGGGCCTACAAAACAAACACATTAATAAAACTTTTTTGAATGAATTTCAACCAATTAGAAATTTGATATTATTATAATAATATAATATTTAATGATAATACTTCAAAAATAAACTGTTATGAGATGTCTCTTTCCTTTTTTGTAGCAATAGATAATAATATGAAATCACAAAGTATTACACAGGTATTAATGGATTGTAAAATAAAAAATGCATATGTGTGGATTCTGTAATATACAATAGATGCAATAGGGATTATACTAAAAAGTATTTATAACAAATGCTGATCCTGGTATAGATTTAGCTATTTAGTTAAAGTATTCTTCTACATTTCCAATTCATTGTATTTGGCATATCAGACAAAATCTACTTTTATGTCTTAAATCAAAACTTGGTGAATTATTTGACCAATTTAAAAAAGATTTTTATTAATGCAGAAATAGCTTAAAAAAAGAAGTATTTAAGCATCATTAAAGAAATTTACTTGTTAATTATCTAAATGCAGCTAATTATCTTGAAAGAACTCTTTATCCATCTAAATATTCTTAGGCACAGGTATTTAATACTACTATATTTACAATAGATATTCAAACAATATCACATTGTGAATCTGTTAATGCTATCTTTAAATATCTTTTACATAATTCAAATAATACACTTATAGATATTTTTTTTACAATTAAAGAGCAATTAGAAGAAGAACAAGATAATATTGATTATTTAAATTGGCAAAATTCTTTTTTAACAATTCAATCTAGCATAATAGCTTCTAATGTTTTTGCTAATATGATTAATAAACTTAAGAATTTTACAACTTCTTCAATTCAAAAAATTCATAATACTGAAATGGAATTAGCATTTAGTTATAATACGAAACTTTTAGATCAGTCTTGGATTAAGTATGAAAATTCTCAGATAATATTAAAAACTTTTTATATATTATAACTTATAAATTTAATATTAATGAATTGCATTTTTTTTTCTTTTAGAACTGGTCATTTATTAATGATTTTATTGAAAAACAAAAAGTACAACAACTTTCTTTTCAACAACTTTTACTATTATATGATCAAAATGAAATCAAATCTCTTTGGAATATTAGCTATTTAACTTCTTTAGAAATACATCACTTAGTTATTTTATTAGATAATAGAATATACAAATATTCATATATGTCTTTAATTAACCGTAGTATTATTTGTAAGCATTATTTTTGTGTAATGCTATGAATATCTCAAGCTCAATTTCATATTAAATTTCTTAATTTACAATAGTATATTGCAACTTTTCCAGATCTTAAGAGTCATTTATTTTATTCTGCTTCAAAGTTTGAAATGAATATAGCTATTCTACTTGATAATCCTTTCAATTTTTTTAATTCAACAAATATTAATCCTATCAATAACATATACACTACAATTAGTAAACAAAAATTGTATTATATGAATATTCAAGGTTTATCTAAGCAGGCATGCCAAATTGCTTACAAAACTAATGATGAATCTTTTGTTACATTACTTGAAAAATATATTACTAAAAAAAATTGTGAAGCATTAGAGTTTACACAAGTTGAATTATTAGATAATCAAAATATAAGTAATATAGAATCTGATCAGAAAAATGCTAATCAACTTGGGAATTCTATAATTAGACGTCCAAAGAAGACCTCATGAAGTTACAAGTTATAAAAATCCTTTGAAAGAATTAAAATCCAATGAATCTACTAGTGGGAGTAAAAATCAACAAAACAAATGTAATTTATGTAATAATATAAGGCATAATCGTATAACTTGTCTTTTAAATCTAAATAAAATAAAGAAATGAAAATTATTATCCTAATTAATCTTAAATCACTACTGTAATTCAAGCCGCTGACAATGGCTTAAATTACAGTAGTGATTTGAGCCTGGCTTCCTACTTATATCTTTTAAATGAATTTTTTTAATATTTTATTAACATGCATTTTTATAATTTTAAAATCTTTATTGTA